CAGGGTACATGAAGTGGATCCTGTGTGAGAGAGTGAGACTGCTGATCTAGGAAGATGTATGTCATGGTTTTGAATGACAGAGCTGAATGTGGGTCACTTATAGAGTCCAAAGATCTTAATACCTGGAGAAAGAATCAATATCCAGAGAACTGAGCTGCTATAGATTCAGTCTCCTTTGTGTGGGGTCAGCCTCCTATATATGTCTGAAAGAATCCTGAAGAGATGGGGCTAACATGTGCAATTAGGATTTAAGTGAGTTGAAGCCTTCCTAAAGTGCAAATACATATTTGGGATCTAATTTGGATAATCCATTATATAGAGGAATTTGGATCCAGATCAGAATGGGCGCGTTTTAGAGACATTTTGATCCAGGGTTCCACTTCAGATCCAACCCTAATTTTAATCTGTTGAAGTGTCTTTAGCATAACATCCAAGTAAGTTTAAAATTTTTCTGTATGTGTGTCTACCTCCATGGCTCCCGCAAAGCAGATGGAGTTAGCTGAGACTGCCAGGGTCTTGCTGTAAATGGGTTTTGTGTCTGTCATCACTTTTGCAGGAGACGAGAGCAAGAAGCTGGCAAAAGAGGATTAAGACATGGTAAGAAAGCGACCTAAAAAAGAAAGAAGAAAATATTGGGACTGTGCCTACATCTATTGCTGTTTTATTTGTGTTGTGTGGTAGCTAGGAGTCCCAGCCAGGGACCAGGACGACATCTTGTGTTTGGCAGTCTATGGCAAGGACTCTTGCTTTCTTTGTTTATAAAGAGCTGACAATCTTTGTTTCTCTGTGATGGAAAAGGGAGTCCCCAAAAGGATTTTATTGTTAAATATTCTATTAAAAGCAAGTCAACAAATAAATTCTCATCTTGTCTCCCTCTGGACCCTTTCATGGCTGGTCAATGGATGATTCCATCATATGCCCAGGTTTTTGTAAAGTCTTTAACCCTATGGCTTAGTTTGCAATATTACCATAGTAACTGGTGTGCATAGGGGAGGCATGGGGGGGGGCACATGCCCCCCTGAGAGTGCTGCTGCCCTCCCTGACAGCAATCACTCCGGCTGGTAGGAGGG